TGTTGCCAAAAAACCCTGCTCTGTTTCTCACCCCCAGTAACAATGTAGGAGGTTCTCATTGCTCTAGAGCTTTGGCAGCTCTTCCTATTTGTCTTATTGGTGATAGCCATTCTGCTGAGCGTGGTGCGTGACGTTATGTCAGTTTTTGATTTGCATTGCCTGAACATCCTGGGTATCTTGGGCCTTTATATGGCCCTTTTGCAGAAATGGCTACTCATGCACTTTGCTAAAAAAATAATAAAAATTTTAACGTGCTTATTTTGTATGCGCATCTGTGTGGGTGTCCGCCCTTGTGCATGCATGTCCTGGCACAAGTCAGGGGACGATTTATAGAAGTCAGTTCTGTTCTTCCACAGTGTGGCTTCTTAGGACCAATCTCAGGTAAAATTAGGCTTGTCAGTAAGCACCTTAACTCACTGAGTTACTTCACTGGTCTACTAAAAATGTAGATAATTTTAAATTGGATTATTTATTTAATTGCTAAAGTTGTCCACATATTCTGGATACAAATGACATTTCTTACCACGTATTTAATTTGTAATATTTGCTTCCTTTTGGTGGGTGGCCTTTTTATATTTATTTACTTATTTTTGTATTACCCGTTGAAATGTGTTGAACACTTTTAGTTTTAGTTTTTCCTTTTTTGTAAAGAATTAAAACCCTTTTAGGTATAGAGTAACGGCTTTTATTGTGACATTTATGCATGTGTACATTACATCTTGCTTGTATTCACTCCCTACTCTTCCCTCCTTCCTCCTCCTTCTTGCTGGCTTTTACATAGTTAACTTTCTTTCTTTTTTTTTTTTTTATCCCATTTCTTGAGCTTTTGATGCCAGATATAAAAAAAAAAACACTGCCTAATCCATGGTCAGGAAAATTAACTTCTGTGTTTACCTCTAGGAGTTTTAAAATTTGTTGTGAGTCTGACATTTTTTTTTTCACGTGAATATCTAGCACTATTTACTGAGAAGACTTTCTTTCGCCAATTGCCATTGTCACAGTTAAGCAAAAATCAGTAGTTCAAAGCTAGGGGCTTAACTCCAGTTTCAGGCCTTTGCCACTGACCAAAATTGCCCTTGGACCAGCCCCATTTCTCAGTTACTGTTGTGGCTTCGCAGTAAGGGTTGGTCTCAGAAACTGTGACTCGTCCCATGTGTTCTGGTCCTTTTCAAGATCATGTGGTCTGTTCAGGATCCCTTTAAATTCCATATTATTTTAAACCACTTTTAAAATATTTCTATGAAGAATCTAGCTTGGCTTAAATAGGAACTGTGCCGAATCTGCAGATACATTTAGTGACTATGGCTGTCTTAATAGCAGTAAGTCTTGTGGAAATGGAGCACCTTTCCATTTATGTAGCTTTCTTAATTGTTTATTGATTTTTGTTTAGTTTTTAGTATTTTTTTATTTATGTCAAATTAAGAAGATATTTTTTGTGCCTACGTCACTGTGTGTGTGCATTTCTTCACAGGTCAGAGGACAAAGTTCAGGAGCGGTTTTCTGCTTTCACTCTGTGAGTTCTGGGGTCAAACACAGGAGGTCTGGCTCAGGGGAAAATGCCTTTTTCTGCTGAGCCGTCTCCCTGATCCTTTCTTTTCTCAAATTCATGCTGTTATATTCTTTCTAATTTCAAAGTGCTGATATTATAGGCATATACATACCACCAGCAGCAGCTCATATTTTATTTTTTGATGCCATCGTAAAATTGTCTTTTTAGTTGTATTTTCAGAATATTCACTGATGGTGTTTAGACATACAATTGATTTTGTATAGTGAGCTTGAATCTTGGACCTCAATGAACTTGCTTATCAGTTCTAATCACAGTAGAGGATTTTTTCTTCCTCCCCCCCCTTTTTTTTATACTAAATATACCAGAATTTAATAATATCAACAGACTTGTGATAGAAAACAAAACAAAACAAAACACTGTGCTTGACTACAATTTACATTGGAATATTTGACTCAAGAATCAAATCAAAGAGCTTTAAACACTCTAATCCCAAAGTACATCATCCTCGAGGATTTTGAAAAGAATTTTGCATGTAAAAGTTTACCTTATCTGCACATTAATACAATGCCTAGTCCCCTAACGTCTGGGTGCCTCCGTCGTCCTTCCCTGTTTCATGCTTGATCACTTTTGCTTGCACTTCCAGTACAGTGCTAAACATAACTGGTGACAGCAGACATCCTTGTCCTGTCCATGCCCTCAGGATCAGGTATTAAGCCTTCCACCCGTAAGCGTGACATTAACGCTGGGTTTTTTTTACAGATCAACCTTATCAGATGGAGGAATTTCTCTAAGGCTCCAAGATTGAGTATTTTTATCATGAGTAAGCACTAGAGTCTATCAAATAGGGATTTTTTTTTTTATGTTGCAGTATACATCGTTCAGTTCCATACCCTCTGGAGTTGCCAATGTTCTAATTGGCTGGTATAATAAATCCCAAGTGTGATGTATGAGCCTTTTATAGAAGTGGTTAGAGTCAGTGTGCTGGTGTGTTGATGCAGACTTTTGTGTCTGCTCCTTTGTAAAAGCTTCAAAAAAGATTTAGCTTATTCTTGTCCCTGTGAGGCCAGGGGAGGGCATCAGATTCCCCTGTGGATGGAGGTAGAGATGAGCTGCCTACCTTGGGTGTTGGAAACTGAGATAGGACCCTCAGCAAGGCAGTGCAAGCTTTCAATGTCTGACTCATCTCCCCATGAGAGATGCTGACCTGCAGTTTCCTTTCCTCATGAGGGCTTTCGCTCATTTTATTATTGTCAGTCAACACCGTACTCACAGAACAAGTTGTAAATTTTCTGTCCTGACTTTTTGTTAAAGCTGTGGAAGGCCGACATAACTTACCAGAGAAACCATTTGGTCCTGGAGTTTTCCTTGTGAAGACAAACTATAGTTACTAATGTGATACCTTGTTTAAATCTATTCCAGTTCTAAATGAGTTTTACTAATGTGTTCCTTTCATTCGTGTTATTATGCTTGATTGACACACAGTTGCCTACAGCTTTCCCTTTTAATTCTGATTGCCTTAACGTCAGTAGTGATGTGCTCTCATTCATGAGGGAGTTTTCTTTTCTATCGTTCCAGCTATCATAATTAAAGCCCACTAATGCTGACCATGACTGAAAATAAGGTTGTGTCCCATCGATTTCCTCTAGTGCTTTTCGCTCCTGTGCCACACTTACTCTGCTCTGGTCAGTACTGTTTCCTCCCTTAGATTGCTTTGGGTTTGGATTGCTCTCCTTTTCCAGGTGCCTTGAAGTGGAGGGGAAAGTCACTGACTGGACATTTTTCTTAGTTTTAATGGAGGTGTTGCAGCTGTGGGCTCCCCTCTGAGTACGGTTCCTATAGCCTCCCCTGAGTTTTGGAATGCTGTATTTTTTTTTCACTCATCTCTTGGTATTTTTCTACTTCTAGTAATTTTTTGACATGTTGGTAATTTAGGAATATGTCAATCAATGTTTCTACACTCATGAATCCCCAAGTCCCTTCCTCTTATTGATTGGTGGTTTAATTTCATCGTATTTTAAAACATAGTCTGTGTTATTTAAGCACCTTTGAAATTTATTTGGACTTTTTTAGTGATGTACCTCATAGTGTATCTAGGAGGATCTTTCATCTGCAGTGGAGAGGAAGGGCTGTTTTATTTCTGGGTAGAATGTTCTGGAGATGTCTGTCATCTAGTCAGCTTAGAGCACTGTTTGAGTTCGCTATTTTGGGGAATGGATCCTCAGCCCACTTTTCCTGATAACTGAAGACAAGAGTGGAATGGAATCTTCACTTTATTGTATTATTGAATTTTCTCACCCTCTCTTCAGCTTTTTGCAAATTTCTGCTTCATGTATTTAGTGGCACAATTGCTTGATGTTATATGTTAATAACGTTCACACACACACCACACACACACACACACACACACACACACACAGACACACACAGACACACACACACTCCTATGTTCCTGAATGGATAGATACTTTAACAGTCCAAGTATCTCTCCTTCTCTGGAGCAGCATCCATTTGTTTTATGTAAAACCTATCATGTCTAGTACAGTGCTAGCAAACTACAATTGTCTTTTATTTCCTTTTTTTTTTTTTTTTTTTTTTTTTTGTTCTCTTATTTCCACCCAATTTTTCCCTGGTATACAGTTATACAGTTCTTATCATACACTGGGATTCCGATACATCATCATCATCATCACCACCACCATTTTTGTATTGTTTTTTTCTGACAGTGATAGTTTTCTTCCTTCCCTTAGGCGCTCTATTAAGTACATCAAAACATAGAACAAAAGGCAGGTTGAGGGAATTTTCTGGGCTGCAGTATTGATAGAAGTTCTAGAAATATGAGTGATTCTCCGAGTAGTTCCTATAAAACCGAGATGAAGCTGCTGCTTGGGGCTGGTAGTGAGGCTGGTATTTTCCATAATAGTTTGGGACACGTCAGTCATGTTGTTTTATTGCCTGTGTGGATGTCAGTCTAGAAATCCAGAATCTTTTGTGACAGCTGAATATCAGCCATGCCATCACAGGCATGTGCAGCAGCCTGCCTGGCATCCCTCCTGCTCTTTCCCCTCTAGGGATGGCTGTGGGAAGGAAACCGGTGGAACAATAGGAGTAAGAAATGTTGCCATTCAGAGGCTGTTCCCTTCTTTCACATAGAGGAAAAAGAGAGACAGAGAGATTAAGCTAAACCTGGACAGGTGCCATTTCTAGGCCACTAGTCTGAGCTGCATTTCTTCTTCCTACATCCAGAGGAATTAACACAATCCACTCCTCCCTGGCCCTCTCCAGCCCCCACTTGACCTTCACACCTTCCCAACAGTAGGGAAAGGCAGGAAGTTTTCCTGTGGGTTTTCTTTGTGATGACATGATGAGGCAGATTAATCAATGGGGAAAACCCCTGGTGAGAACACGCCTCCTTGTGTACATTCCCAATATTTTGCTATAAGTAGGTCTGCTGCTGGAGCAGAAGAGCACTCACAGGCACTGGGTAGGCAGCCCTGAGCAGACCATCCCTGGAGCTGAGAATGTCCCACAGTGTCAAGCCTCTGCTCTTCCTTGCTTTGGCATGTGTGCTGCTAGCTCACCTCTGCAGCCAGTCAGAAGGTAAGTGTGGCCCCTTTCTGCTGGTACAGGAGGGGAGAGGGCTTCTGTGTCCCCTAGGTCTTATCTAGGGGTCCCTGTAGACAGCAGCCTGATAAAGAGTATATAAGAAAGACTGGTTGGCTCACAGGTAAGAAAAGGAAGACTTGATGCTAGCAATCAGGTTCTCTTCTCTGCTGTCAATCCTAGCAGACATGGAGAGTGATGGGCTTTCAGAGATACCTGAACTTCAGGACAAGGCCCATGCACCATTCTGGGAGTGATGTGCCAGAGTGTGACATTTCAGGATACATGGTCATTCAGAAATGTGTAGGATATTTCACTTCCAACCCCTCTGCCCTGCCTTTTTAACCTTCCAACTAAGTAATGTTAGAGAAGCTCATGTTAGTGAACTTCATAACTTACCCTTAAGCTTTCTGCTATGACACTTGACCTCAGTGTCCCTATGAGGCCCACAGGACATTGTTCTCCAACTTCGAGATAACATTTATCCAGTCCCTTAGCAGGTTACACTTTAACTTCGAGGAGTGCCCAAATATTGCTTTATGATATCACTATCTGCAACAGGTGCATGCCTGGGAACACGTGGTGAACTTTTTGAACAGGATTTAGGCTCCACTAGTCAACCCAGCAGTTTTAGAATGCTTTAGCATGATTCCTAATAGCTACATTTTCCTCTGTAAAATTTTTTTCATGGTTCCTAGAAAATCACATTTTCTTTGTAATTTCACTTCTGCCTACTCAGTCGCCAGAGGACAGATTGAAATTTGTCCTCCCCCTCTGTTCTGAATATGAAAGGCCTCTCTATAATGAATTTGTTTTTAAATGATGGTGGCAGAGATGAGCAGCTATGTTCTTGAGTGGTTACAGCAAACTGAAATGAAATATTTGCATTTCTTATTGATGATGGAGGGAAGCCATGGGCTTGTAAGCTAAGATAGTGAAGCCAAAACATCACAGCACGCCACTTTTAAAAATGATAACCTGGAACTATGTTAAGTTGGACCTCAAAGACCCCAACTAGGCTTCAAAGACAGGAAGATTCATTCCTGTGGACTCAATACATTTTATTTTTCTTTTAGCAGCAAGCAACTTCGACTGCTGCCTTCGGTACACGCAGCAGGTTCTTCCTCACAGAGCTATTGTGGGTTTCACAAGACAGACGGCCGACGAGGCTTGTGACATTGATGCCATCATGTAAGCCCTTCACCAACTCTAACTCAGTTACGGCAGGGACACAGGGCTTTATTTCATGCACACTTCAAAAGTTTAAGTAGGACCAAAGTAAATCAGGAGCTTAGCTTTTAGTGTTTAAAAAAGTAAACTTTTCACAGGGCAGAAGTCCCTTTCCAGGATAAATTTGTTGACTGTGATACATGGAGGACGTCTTTGAAATGAGCATTTTCTACTAGAAAATGGGGCAAATTGTAATATTACTTAAAATACTCATGGTTCATTTTGAGTGTTGTGTTTTGGAATAATACAAGCTACTACCCACATCCGTATATGTGATGAGCCTCCATGGGAAGCAACATTGAATGACCAGTCTGGGATTTTGTCTTCTGCAATTGTACAGTCATCTGTTACATTTTAGGAATAGTCCAAAGGAGTCCCTTCATTCCTTCTACCAGAAATTATTATAAGCATTTTCCCTATCCTTTCATCTCTGTATCCAAAGGTTTAGTGGATAGAACATTCAAGTAGCATATAAAGCTTCCACTGCATGTTCTGTGAAAAAACTAACAAACAAACAAATGCATTCAAAAGCTTAATGAATGCAAATCAAAATTTTAATTTTTGATTTTCAGCTTTCACATGAAAAAGAAATTTTCTGTGTGTGCCGATCCAAAGCAGAGCTGGGTGAAAAAGGCTGTGCACCTCCTCAGGTATGGACCACTGAAGGGCAAGCAGGTTCTCTCCAAATGATGGGGAAAACAAAGGTGCAGAGGGTGGGTCGCAACCTGTTGGAGTTCTTCAGTTTGGTGACATCGAGTTTTAGAAGGGGAAATTTGACTTAGCTCTTGCAAGCATAGGATGCATTTCTACTTATATGTCAATTCCATTGTCATGTTTATTATCTTAACTTAATGACTTGTCTCATATGATGCGTTAGATTTCCCTTTGCATCTGATAGTCACTAGCTGCTTGACTCTCGTTGGGAAGACATTTCCTCTTTATATCATTTATAGATCTCCTGACACTTGGTTGGTCTCTAAACCCGGAAAAATAAGCTTAGCTAAAAAAAGACCAATGATTCTGGTTTACATCAATTTAATGTAGAGCTTTATCAATAGACAATACCTCACACTATTGCACCATAGAAACTTAGAACTTAGAAACATAGAAACCCTAGATAGGTGTTCGTATCCTGTTCCTGTCATTAACTAGCTTAGTTGTGTTGGGCGAGATCACCCTTTGTCAGAGTCAAATTCCTCTTTTCATATTGAGATGAGATTGAAGGTATGTGAAGTAACCTCTAGGTCAAAGCCGGTCTTACCATCCAGTTCTCCATTCACAGTCTGCACTTTTCCTCTTTTATTATAGTCTAAAAGTCAAGAGGATGTAAACACGGATTCTTTCCTGGGATGGAATTGGACACAGCCCAGGGAGGAAGTGATCACAAGGGGGGATGGAGGCTTCACCTGCACATCACTGAGCAGACCTGATTTGTGTCCCACTGGACTGGTCCAATGGATGAAGTTGATTCATATTGCATCATATTGTGTCTTCTTTAAGCTCATGTTAGAGTTAAGTTGTGTTTTATGTTATTTATAGATATGGGTTTTCTATGTTTAGCTATTTAATGTCAATTTCGCACAATCTATGAGGGGGGCTTAGTGTAAGTAATATTATACTTAAGGGAATATGATAATATAGATCTTCTTGTGAGCAATAAGCTATTGTAAAAATATTTAATTTTCTTCTGTGTATTTAATTGTCTCTCAAGTTGATGTAACTACCTTATAAAGTAGAAAAGAACTATGAAAATATATTGAAAATAAAAGAACTGAAAATTTACTTATTGATGGAGTCACATATTATTTATTGAGATGAATATTGAAGATGTCTAATGGCACAATATACATAAATATTTTCTGAAAAATGTGTGTCTTCATTCATTTCTGCCTGGCTTTCCCTTTTACTTCTCCTCCTCATGGCCTGAGCTTTATCTATATGGATTACAACAGAAAAGTTGCAGTTTTATAATTGGAAGTCATTCCCACCAAATTAGAATGGTCCTATATTTGAGGCCCATAGTCCAATGTTGATTGGTATAATCATAAATAAGTAGAATTTTGTGGCTGTAGAAAAACAACAACCATTTAGAAAATACTTGGAGAAGTCATTTGGCTCATCTTTCTATCAGCTACTCTTCATTTCAGCTAGGAATGTTTCTCTACTTTAAAGAGAAACAATTTCAGCAATTTTCCAAAGGAAAGTAACTACTCAGGATGGTCTCAGACAGAGCTGCCTTAGTAGCTAGAGGAAAGACTGAAGATGATTAAAGCTAGAGAGAATCTAGTAATAAGATTCTGAAAGAATGGCATCATTCACTGTGAGCCTCCACATGGCCTGCCTCTGTTTCTAAAGAACACTAAGGATGCTTGAAGGCAGTCATGCTGATGCAATGAAGCAAATTACAGACACACACTTGCAGTGCAGGCCAGAGGTGGGTCATTTGATGAAATGCCAAAAAAGTAAATGGCCCAGGAATGCCCTGAAGACATGTCAGTGCCCAGGAATATAACCTTGAGTCATCAGGGAAAGTATGCCTAACATCCCATTCATTGGTTCAGTCAGCCCAGGGTTAGCCTCATTATGTGCCAAACACTGTGTCAAGTGCTAGAGAGATGAGATCAGGCAAGGGTGGGTAACTTGCTCATAGTTAATGAGGGTTAAGTCATGTGGGGAGAGACGACAAGCAGCCTGGTTATTACAATGCCTGGTGGCAAGCACTTTGCTATAGACAGTCATAGGGTACACCTGTACATCATTAGGGAGGGCTTCCAGGAGAACAGGATATTTAGGTTAGCCATATTAAGCAGCTAATTCTGTGTTCCTGGACTATAACCAGAGCAGCTCCACGTGGCCGAGCTCAGCACTTGAGGTGGGAGGTAGTCAGTTGAAAGGGGGCAGTGCAGAGTGCTTGGAAGCATCTGGGGCATGTTTTAGTTGTCACAATACCTGAGGGTGGGTAGCACAGGCATGCAGTGGGCAGGGTGGGTAGCACAGGCATGCAGTGGGCAAACCTACTGGCATGCACAGAATACTTCTGCACAATGAAGAATTGTCCGACCTGATGTGTCAGTCACAGTCATGCTCCCATGGAACAACACGGGACGAAGCAGGATGCATGCAAGAAGTGAAGTAGGAGTGAGACAGCCGATTAAGACTGTTAGCTTTACTAAGTGGAGTGGCTTGAGCTTCATCATGGGGTTGCCAGGGAACCCCTAAAAAGGCCAAGGCAGGCGGGGTCTCTGGTAACAGAGGAAAGAGAGGTGAAACAAACGGGAACTCAGTTAAAGTCAAGGCAGAGGCCAACACTGGATGTCATCCCCTTTCGTCCTCCACCGTATCTTGGAGACAGGGTCTCTCCTTGGTTGGTCTGAGTTCACGATATGGCCTAGACTTACCTGGTAAGTCACAACAATCTGCCTGTCTGAGATGCACACTTGATGCACATGTGATGTGAGTACTGAGGATCTGAACTCTGGCCCTCATCTTTTCCCGCTGAGCCCTTATGTATTGAGCCATCGCCACAATCCAAGACTGATACAAGATCTCCAGTTCCTAATGTGAGGTCTTTGATCATAGAAATTTCTTTGGTCTACCTTAGTCCTGTTATGTGAGGGGAGGGGGAACCACAATCCTCTTAGGGGAACAGTACTGATAAGATTTCTTTATCCATGCATCCACACCACCTGACTTATTTAAGAGCAATTTATGGACATTTCAAGGCAGTGGCTGCTTCAATGAAATACTCCAAGGGTATCACTATGTGTGTATGCGAGTTTGGACTCTCCTCCCATGTCCTGGAGTGGTAGTGGGGAATCAGCAAGCTCTCTTTGTTTTAACAAGTGAAGCCACCTTGGCTTTGGCATTTTGTTGGGTGCCTGTGAGGTACGGACTCCAAGTAGATCCTGTGGCATTGTCAACTTTAGTAAGATAGTCTTGTTAAAATAAATAAGTCTGTGATGATTATAGCAGCATCCCCACCCTTTTTCATCACCCAGTTCCGGTGGCTCCTTGTATCTGGTGGGTTGGGCACAATCTGATCTGGCCTGAGATGTTACATTTTGCTGTTGAAAGGGCTTTGCTTCCTTGGCTTCAGCTCTCAGGACTCACTCATGAGCCAGCCTGCTCCTCCCCATCTGCCTGGTTTGGCTCTTTCGCCATCCTGTACATCCTCCTTCGCCTAGCCTGACCTTGCCTGGGCCTGACACATCCTGCCCTCCTCCTGCCCTGCTGTGAAAGTTAGCTATACTTTCTCTGGTTGGTAGAACCTGCCCGCACATGACTCACTGTGGGTGCCAGTGTCAAATTGAGTAAAGGGATGTTTCCTGTTTTACAACAAAAGTGTAAAATACTCCCCACCCCAAGCCTAGCCAACGGCAAAAACCCCACCAACAAAATCCTCAAATTTTACGTTTATCCTACAATTAAGAAGGACAAAGAGACATTTCTTAAACTTATAGAAGTAGTTTTAATAGTTAAGGGAAGGGCCAGGATTTCTACTTGGGCCTTGTAGGTTTTGACAGGGTTTCCAGGGAATCTTGCCAAGAAAGGAAGGATGTGCTTAACACTGTGGGCTGGAAAATCAACATCTATACACCAAAGCTCTGGTTCACAATGTGTTAGTGGGTGTGTATGTGTAAGGGTGTGTGTACATGGCCGTGTGTGTGTGTGTGTGTGTGTGTGTGTGTGTGTGTCTATGGTGCAGAAGTGCCTAAAGATGGGGTTTGCCAGAGGTAGTAGTGATTTTAAGGTAGTGCCTTCATGATTGAGATAGTGAAAGCAAGCAAAGGACTCCAGACTCCAGTGGTAACAAGCTCTGCGATGGCCAGTTCCAGAGGATGACTACTGCCATCTTGCTATTTAAATTCACTAGTACCAACTTCCACTGCTTTGTTTCTCTTTTAATTCCATAAACGTCTTTAATTTCTTGAGTCTGCCCCCCCATCTGCCTAAATCCCAGAATGCAACACTGAATCAGTTTCCTGTCCATATCCTTGACCCTTTCCCTCCCCTGTGCCACACTCACACTTCAGTGGTTTTCTTGTGGCTCCGTCTAGTTCGTCTTTTTGATCCTCAGGTGACTGCAGGTCACTGGGCTCCTTCAGTATTTGTTTTCTAGTCCAGCTGTAAATTCATGGCCCTCCAAATTGGCAGGGTATCAACATGCTTTTCAGAGCAAAGATTACACTGGACAAAGCTGAACAAAGGTGTAAAGTATCAAAAATAAGTCAGTACCAAATCTGGACTCAATTTTGCTGAGACAAAGGACAGACTCACTTTTAAGAGCTAATGTGTTTGTTAACTGGCTTTGCCAACAGGAGAGTAAATTTATCCTAACTTCATGATGAAAGAGTTTTACAGTTTTGGAATAACACTCACCTGAAGAAGTGAGGGCAGAACTGAAGGCTGATTCTTGGGTCCTAGAGAAAGACATACTGAGGTTGTAAAGCATGGCTTTTCAAACATTTATATCTCAAAGGGACAAAGAAAAAAAGCACAAAAGAAAGTTTACTAATGTAGATACTCCAAGGAAGGGGTGACGCGGATGCTGTAAGTGGAGTAGCCTGCCTGCAGTTGAGTCCAGCTGCAGAAAACTGCAATGGCTTGTGGGCATCTTTGAGCTGACCGTATTAGTTCACACAGCATGATTCTGTACACAGTGATGAGGAATATCCTTACCCACACTTTTAAACCACTCAGATTTCATATTATTGCCCCCATACGTTATTCTCTAAATCAGTGGATCTCGGCCTTCCTAATGTTGCAGTCCTTTAACACAGTTCCTCATGTTGTGGTGACCCCCAACCATAGTTATTTTGTTCCTATTTCATAACTGTGATTTTGCAAACATCTGATATGCAGGATATGTGATATGTAATCCAAGTGAAAGGTTTGCTTAATACCCCCCCCCCCTCCAAAGGGGTCATGACACACAGGTCGAGACCTGCTGCTCTAAATTATATTTTGTAAATAAACATCTCCACAAGAGTGGGCTCTTCTGGCCATCTGACCTCAGTAGGTTTTCCTACTTATTTTATAGTGTCTTGCTAATAATAAGACACCTGATTTTTATCTTTGCATTTGACTAAATGGGAAGGATTAAATTAACTTGAACTTGGAACCATTCCAAGTGCCTTCCAACTCCTGGGAGGCACCCAAGTGTTGCCATTCCTGACATGTTTCTTAGCTGCAACTGTTTTATCCATTTATCCAGTGGGTAGCTGGTCTCTTGACCATGATCCAGCATGATAAGTTTATTAGGAATCTACCTGATCATCATTACATTCCCAATACCTGTAACAGTGTCTGCCTGTTGACTTCTGTGAAATAGCAACCAGACACATGTTCAAATACATATAGATACATGTGAAAACATACAGAAGCAGACATCAGTATTTGTAGCATCATTTTAAAATATAATGAAAAAATAAATATGCGTAGGAAATAAGATGAAAAGAAAAACAGTAATCAAAATAACTTTTAAAAACTTAAACTCTCAGGTAACAAGCAACTTTTATTTTTGTCTTAACAAATAGTATGTTGTGTACACAAATGAACTAAATGTTTATTAATTTATTAATTAGATAAGTCCTCAAAAAGGATGTTATCTAAAACTTCGATGGGTTATTGTGATAAATGTGTTGTATGATTTGTAGGATACTTAAAATGTTTCTGAATCTAAAAAGACAGAAAAAAACCTTTCATTTCAGAGAAAACCCAAACAGTAGGGA